ACAGCTGGAACGGAGCCCATGGAGAGGGGATGGATGCGGGCTGCCTGCTGTGGTCTTTGGGCTCCCTGCCCTGCTGCCGTCCCCCTGAAGGCTTCCACAACTGAGTGAGTGGGACTCACAGGCTTGGTGCCACCACTGGGAACCTCACATGGCCGTGGCCTGGCGCACACTGCCCGCCTGGCAGCAGTTGGGGTGGCAGCACAGTTATCTGCTCTAGATGTGCCACTCATCGGGGAGGTAGGAACTGGGCTCTACACTCTGCTTAGGCCACAGAAGCTGCTCCTTCTCACAGGTGGCAGCCGGGGCTCAGGTGCTGCCGGGGGAGCGGTTAGGGGGCTGCAGACCCAGGTCCCTGGCCCACATATAAATCTGGGAGGCACGTGTGCACCATGCCCTCCCCAGAAATTTGCACAGCGGTGGGGAGCCAGCCTCCCCTGCCACCCAGCAGATGAGCCACTCACAGCTGGCTCCCACCCTGCCCAGGCCTCACAGCTGTGCATTCCCACCCTGGCCCCGGCCCCAAGCACCACCCTGGCTGGGCAGTGCTCCAAGCCCCAGCCCTACCCAACTCCCTCCCTCCCTCACTATGAGGACCTCTATCCCACCCCCACCCAGACTTGTCTGCGGGGAGCTGCAGGATCTGCTCTCCATGCTCCCTGGCTGTCATGTGCATGTGTGTGTGCACATGCACGTGGTGCCCCCTGCCAGATTGCCCTCCCCCAGCCCCTTGCAGGCAGGGACCCTGCCAGCCTGCAAGGGGAAACCTGCTACTTCCTGCATTTTTCTTTGTTAAAGGAGAAAAAGCTGTGTTTTTCTCCTTAAAATGAGAAAATCCATTTTTCTGTGGTGAACAGAAAATCCAAATCTGTGGTAATAACGTGTTTTTTCATTGGTTTAGCATTTCCCCCTTCTCTATGGAATACAGCTATACCCATACACAAGCAAATTCATATTGTTATAGTTTCATCCACCCTATAGGGTCACATCACTTGAACTGTACTGGCACAGTTATGGAGGTGTAACTGTTGTGTGCAAACATGTCATAAAAGGCTCTTTTGAACTGAGCTCCATGCAGGAAGTCTTCAGGCTAATGGCAGTTTCAGGGAGACAACACATAGTGGAAAATAACTTGCTTATAGAAAAAAACAAGTGTTTTTTGAAGCAAGTGTTGCTTGATACTTCTTTGGATTAATCAAGAGAATTTATGCATAACTTCACTTCTCATAAGAAAGAACAGAAAACTGGGAGGGAAAAAGGGGATAATTCCAGACCAAAAAATGAACCCCTGAGGAAAAAGAAAAAGGAAGAGAATGAAGCCAGTAGGGAGAGAGCACTGAAAGTCTATCTACCATTCACTCTGCTTTAAAACAAAGTATGCAAGACAGAAACTAGTTTTCTTAAAGTAAAAATTCAGTTTTATTTGTATTTTAATAGGAACGTTACACAAAGAGACAGAATCTTTCACAAATACCTCTTTGACCTTGGAATGTTCATTTCTTTGGCCTCTTGCTTATAAGAACTTTGGTAAAGCCAAGCAACGCACTGCCATCTAGAGAAGTACAAGAAAGCATACAATACCACTGGTCTTGCATATATGAAGGCAAGCCAAAGTTAGCTAGGCAAGTCAATTTTCTAGGATTATGTAAAGATAAAGAGCATAAAAGCATATCTCTGGACAGGGATGTCTTCTGTGATGATTTTCAATCCTCTCCTCCACACAGGTTGAGCAGTGCCTTTTGGTAATCACCCTTTGTGTCTTGCTGTAAAGTAATGGAAGAAAAGTATAAGGTATACTCTGAAAGACAGTTGAAGCTTACACACAAGGCAGCAGAATGAGTGCACTAAATTCTGTATTTCTGAGGCAAAGTAAAGTACAAAGCTGAAGCAGTTAACCATATCGCCTCCTCCAATATATTAATACTAAAATCTCCACAAGCTGTAGAAAGTAGGAAGCCATTTTCAAGCAAAAATTACTGTATGGTTTTTGACATGCAATGTAAAAGGAGGAACAAAATGGGAACTCTGGTTCAAAATTAATAAGTAAACAGCAGAAAACAGAAGAACAAGGTTTAGTTCTTCCCTCTGGTTACCATCTATCAGTTAGCTCTCTCAGTCACTGACAATCTGGGTATATTTGTACCAGGGAGCTGGAGATGGAAAGGTTTATTCACCAATCCCCTGATGTACCCTCTCTGTTTCAATTAACCAAAGCAAAACACAACCCAGTTTCACCACGCTACCTCAAGTCAACTGATTTGGAATTTTACAACTCTGCTCCTTCCACGAATACAATATTACTTGGATTCAAAACAAAATTGGGCAGTACATGCATGTAATAAAAGTTCTTGGTTTAAACTGACAAGACAGAATCCATATCACTACCCCATTTTACGGATAGGAATGGAGGCACAAACGAATCAATTGACTTACCCAAAGTCACCCAATAGAAGTCTGTTGTACAGCCAACAAAGCGTTACAACCTTGGCACTGTCTAATAATAATCATGGCCCTATTGTTGGGTTGGCTTATCTAATGGTGGTCTACACACCAGGCTCCCATGATGTTGAACCTTTTAGCCAGAGTATCCATAGCTATAAGAGGATGTTAACATTTCTAATATGTAAATGGTAGATAAAAGCTTTGTCTGCAATGATTCAGTAGAAATTTATATTTATTTTCTAATGGACTATATTTTATAATGCTCTCTCACACTGAGGTATAGCCTTTTTGTGGGAGACTTGGACTAAAAGAAGTGTGTTTGCAAAGTGGTGCAGGGAAATTCAACTTGCATATAAACTAAGAATAAGATGTCAGCCACTGCCACATCTCTTCCAGTGATGCTGTGAAAATTGAACACTCTTGAACAATTACCAGGAAGAGGGCATCTGGCCCAAACTCCTTCCACAGCTGCTGACACAGAGCTCCCCGTCTGGGAAAATTACTGCCAAAACTACTATGCACCTACTATGAAGTGTACATTTGTAGCCTCAGAAGCTAGCACGCATACTTATTTCAGCTTTATGCCCCCACCAGGACTAGCTGTTTTCCAGGGTCAGAGACAAAAACTGTAAAGCTCCTGGGAATGATTTAGGAAAATGCACCATCAGTTCAGGAGTATTACGCCTAACTCTTTCCCATTAGACAATGTAGGAAACACGTTAAAAAGGGACTACACCCAAATCTGACATCTTTTTCCAGAGTTAAGTTATGTGGAAGAGCCTGGGCCAGATATGCTGAAGGTTTTTTTTAGCTTGTTTCATTCCCCTGCACTCACCCATGCAAAACAAATGCTGGATGGGATATGACAGGATGAAGAACCTCTCACATGGTGATAAATGGGGCATGTTAGTTTGGATGGGGCCCAAAATTTACATGATTAGGAGAGGCAGGTTAGAATCAACACCTAGAATTGGAAAGCCCTTGCTCTTCATCCAGTGTTTTTAAAGAAGAAAAAAGCTTGAGACATATTTTCCATGTCCCCTCACGGGCCAGAGACAGGATTATTCCAGTCCCAGAGCTAGATCAACTTCAGACAGGGCAGCTAGAATCTAGGGTTCTGTAGCATGAATGGGAGTTGACAGCAGCTGCTTGCATGATCTCTTCCTCTATGGTCAGTCCCATCTCAAGCTCATTGGTGCTTATTTTCCCTTTGCTTCTAGCTTTGGGAAGAGCTTTCTCCACAAACATATCAGCCAGCTACAAACAATTTGCACACAGTCTAAAGCTTGCATATAATTTCACTGCCTATTGCTCACAGATTGTAGTCTAGTTAAAAGTTTAGGGTGAGATTTTCAAAAGTACCTGGCATTGTCCTAACTGCTCCCAATGAAACTGATGACAAAATTACTGCTGACTTCAATGCGTGCAATTAGATCGATGCTGAGAGCTTTTGAAAATCCCATGCAGTGATTAAAACAAGAGGTCTTTTTACTCACCTGGATGAAATAATAGAGGGATTTTCCATACTTCCTCTTGAATTCGCTCTTAACTTTCAGCATATCAACCTCACTGCGGGACACCATAATCCTGATCAGGACCTTGTCACGGGTTCCTTTGCCCTACAAACAGATTTACATTTAGAACGGTAGCTGCTGAAGTGAAAAAACAGGACAGCCATAGCAGTGTAAGAAGGGAGACTAATCTACTGCCAAGTAGTTAAAAGTTAAAATAGATTACTTCTTTCCTCACTGCTGTATTTGATAATCCCTCTGAAAATCTTCTTCACTATACTGTCCTCTATTTGGCTGATATATTATTGTGTATTTTCCAATACAGCAGAAACAAAAATGTCTCCCTTGCATTTACCTCTTAATATACTAGCATTGTATCCCCAGTATTTTTAGTGGAAATGTGTACTGTTTTCTCTGTGTGGCTCTGTAGTCTATTCCATAGACGTTCTTAAAACATGTGCAAAAGCGGTGTTTGATTGCCTTCTACTAATGTATTAAGCTACTTAAAATGCAAACCCTTTAAGCAGGGATGATCTTGGTCCACAACTGTGGGTCCAAGGGTGCTATGATAATTTATAACAATATGGCCAACCTCTGTCCCATGCATTTCATTCTCTCATTTTCTCCCTAAGGAAACTTTGTTTTGGGAGGTTTTGGTGTTTGGGGCCATCACACCAACATGCTGATACCATCTGTGTGTCAAAGCAGGATTTTATTTTTTTCATTTAGAATGAGGGCGTTCTTCACCCAGTGTTTGTAACAGTTAGACTGATCACATCTCAGTCATGAGCTATTTGATACCAATTTAACTTGCATATGTCTGAAAACCCTACTGTTTACTATTAGTTCAAAGAGCTCAGCACTAGCTGCCTTTAGACTTTTCGAGGTTTTGCTCATGCTTGCTTACCGGTTCTTTCCCTAGGCAAGTTTTTATAGATTTCTTACATTAAATAAGATCCCACTCCTTTTAATCTTTCTTGTTTCTTCTCTGGGAACTTTCCACCTACTGTAGTACAGGACATAAATCCTAATCAGCACATAAAAGTGGCCAACCACATAAGATGCACTAGGAACACTTTCCTGTGACCTATGCTTGTCCTCTCCATTTTAACACCCCACATTCTGACAGGCTTCAGATTACTTAATTTTTGTCCAAGGTTTCATGATTATCATCTCACCACCATTTGCTATGTATTGTGGGTAAGGTCTAACTCATACTATATAGCCTTTGTCCTGACACCTGCTAATTCATGGACAAAATCCACTCCAGTTCACTTAAATGGGAATTAGATTTGGCTTTAAAATTTTACTTAAAGTTTGACACCCATGAATAATCTGCCAATCAGGCAGTGTGGACAGATTTAAAAGTGTCACCAACTTCTAATGGTAGTCCTAGGTATTCTTATGACATAGCTATTGTATCTGTAGGTTTCTATGGGCTACAAGTGGAGCAAGCCAATTTTTTCAGGGTTAAAATTACAGTGATATTACTCACACAGCTAGAGGAACCTGCAGATATAACAACTGCTTTTGAACAACCAATGCATGCTCCAAGGGGAAATTCCACCTCTCATTTCCAAGTGGTTGAAAGTTACATTTGTCCACAGCCTTAATAACATTCTCATCTCTCTTTTCTAAATTAATTACCATTTAACAAAAAAGCTAAATGCAGGGGAAAATAACTGATGCTCACTCTACACTTCAAAGCTATGTGTTGATGACAGCAGCAGATTTGAAACAGTATCTGCAGAACAACCTTACTGTTACAGCTCTGTGTTTTTTGCAGCGAATGCTATTTAGTCTACTATTTTCTCTCTCAATATATGTCTGTTGACATTTCTGCATAAAGTACATCAGATTAATTTCTCTATGCATATAATATTAAAGCATGCTTTTGAAGAAAACCAGCCTTGATGATGTAATTAGCTATGCTAGTACCATCTAAACAACTGCAAAATTAATGGAGAAGAAAGAAGAAGAAAATGTGATTAGACAAGGAAGGAGAGCAAAAGATTCAGTAGAAAGAAGGCCTCTTTCAGCCCCACCATACCTTCATGGAGTCGTACAATCGATCAGCAAAGTATAACTGCTTGTTTTGAATGCACTGGACTGAAAAAGGAAGATGGTATGATTGGTTACACTTGCTAGAGGTATGCAAAATGAATGATACTGCACTTTTTTTGTTGAAGATGTGATGGCTAACCTACAGGGAAGGAGAAGATATACTTCCAAAAATACCACAGATACATTATTTGTGTCTGAAATTACTGTTTCAAGTGGGCAAGTTTAGGCAGTCACACAAAGGCATTTAACCATAGCTGTGTAAGATCTGACAAATATTTTACCATTGTAGTGCTATCATATCACATTATGGTGCTCCCTCACAATTCTAGGTCTAGGCTTTGTTCATCTAAATAATTTTGGTCACCTCCTTTCTGAAAATGCTAATACTGATGATACCCAGGTAGATTTCTCCTGCAGGGTTTGTGCTTTTCCTTATGCCTTTTTGTCTTAAACAGTCCCTGGCTGTCCCAGCACTGTATCTCTAAACTATTTATCCCTCTACAGTCAGTCCCCACAAATGAAGTTCATAGCACCTCTCCAAACTCCACAATTCAAAGCACCTGACTGCATTTACATTCCTGTCCATGTGACAGAGCACAATGGCAAATTAAATGCCCCTAATAGCCTCCCAAAGTCCTCCTGGGTGACTCTGACAAGCACTGTTGTTCTCTTCAGTCTCTCTCAGCTCACCAGATTTCTAAAGCAGGCATTCAGAGAAAATATTTCAGGTGTGAGGTTAAGCTACCTTCTCCCATAAAATTGAAGGGATGATTCAGTCCCTATATACCACAGAAAAAGTAACAGCAGATCATAAACCATACTTCTCCTTTGAAGAGTTGGTTGCAGATTACTTTTAGCAGAAGACAGTATATTGCTTAATTACACTTCTTCCCACTTCCAATTAAAACAATAAAATTCATTCACAGATTCTACACTGACGGCACCCTAAGTGCCTTTCCTTTCCTCTAGCATCTTCAGAGCAGTCATTATGCAAGTGAGCCTCTCCCTGCCTCTTCTCTGTAAGAAGACTGCAAGAGCATTGGAAATGTTTTTTTGTAAGCTTCTGTTAACCTGGATGAACACGCATCAGCTTACCAAGATTAAGGAAGGCATTTTCCAGGTCTCCCTTGACCTCCTTCTTGATGCTCTCCAACATATCATATGGGCTGTAGCTCTTGTACCTCTCGAACACTATGGTAAGGAAGAAAACCATTGAAAAAACCCAAAATAGCAGCTGCTCACACCTCTTAAGTTATACACACAAATGCAGGGCACAGGAAATGTGAGTGGAAAAAACTTCACAATGCCAAAAGAAGGGCCAGACTGAGAACAACAGCAAGGTGTAAGTACCTTCTATGCTACTTTGACTTCTCTTTCAATGAATAAATTGTAACACATCAGGAAGTCATCAATTAACAGATACTTTGGGTAACATTTTGGTTTTTTTTGTTTGTTTGTTTGTTTTTAAACTATAAAATAGTTCTCCAAGTACTGAGAGCATTTCCAGTTCCAGAATTTAAACCTTCAAGAAAATCCTCACAAGGGGCTTTCTTACATGGCTGTTAAAACCAGAAGCTACTCCTGGAACCCAATGATACATGATTAAACATGTGATGCACACAATTGGATCTGTGTGCAGGACTACAGCTGTGAATTTAGTAGGCGTGAACCGATAGAGATTTTTTGAGCTGATACTGATGGTCGATTTTTAAGAAGCCATATCAGCCAATACTGATGTGATATGCAGCCAGGCAGTCTGGAGACGAGCATCAGGCTGCTAAATCTGGTGCTAAATCTGGTGTGGGGGGGAAAGGTGCGGGGAGGGAAGGGATGTAGGGAGGCAGATTTTGGCCCTCATGGTGAGGAAGGGAGTGGAGCTGGGGAGGTACTGCTCAGCCAGGGCATAGGACAGAGCCACAAGTGGCTCATCCAGAAGGGCACAGGCTCCCGCTACTGTGGGCACCCTGGGAGGGCACAAGGGACATGTGGCCCCAGATCTGTACATGGGGCTGCTGCTGTTGGCTGGTGCCACCATCTGCCCCAAGCACAACCTGGCTCAGCCCCCGCCCCTGCCAGGGAGAGCCTGGCACAACCCCTAGCCCCAGCCCATAGTGGCAGCCTGCCCTACCCTGCCCCACATGCAGAACCAGGGGGCACACCCCCCATGCCCTCCTGGGGTGAGCACAGCACACCCCAAAATGAGCTGTTCATGGCTGCACCCTGCCCTGCCTGGGCAGCACCCATCCCTGCCCCACTCTCTTCCTCACCGCGGAGACTTCAATCTGCCCCACCGTGCCCCTTCCCTCCCCTTACCCCTTTCCCCACACCAGACTTACCAGCCAAAATGCTGCTCTCCAAGCTACCAAGCTGCGCTCCTGCCCTTGTGTCATGCCGCAGCTGCATGCATGCACAGAGCATTTAATCGGCCACATTATTAGCCACAGCAGGCAAAAAAAGCCAATTTCTGATACTGTCAATTTTCCGTACGTCAGTGCCAATCTGATTTCATAGACATTAGGGCTGGAAGGGACCTCAGAATATCATCGAGTCCAGCCCCCCGCCCAAAGGGCAGGAAGTCAGCTGGGGTCACAGGATCCCAGCAAGATAAGCATCCAATTTTCTTTTGAAGGTGTTCAGTGTAGGTGCTTGAACCACCTCCGATGGCAGGCTGTTTCAGACCTTGGGGGCTCAGACAGTAAAGAAATTCTTCCTTATGTCCATGATATGGGACTGATGTATCAGTGCACCTCTAGAATTTAGAGACCGTTTTTGAAAGTGTGGTTTCTAAGATGTATTCCTGCTGCATGCACGTGTGCACATGTGCATATACATGCAAAACTTCAAGCAAAGAAATTAATGTATTTACTTTACTTTTAAAGTAATATTTAAATATTTATTTTTTCCCAAAAGGTAATGCCACAGCTGATAAACTTAAGATTTTTCTGCTTACTGGTCTCATTTTAATCACTATTAGAAGGAAAAAATAACCATCCATTTCTAACTCCCTCCTACGGAAATGCTTTGTTTAAAAAGTACCTTTCTGGAGGTGGGGAACGCTTCTTTCAGTCATAATGTTGATCCACTTAGGAACATCGGTTCCCTTCCTCTTCACACCAGCATCATAAAGGTCCTATGGTTAAAATGAAAAGTGCTTCTGTAGCCACCAGAAGTCAAAAAAGGTAGTTGCTTCAAAGCTATACAAGTTTTTTGGGGTTTTTGTTTTTTTACAGTAAAAAAAGTTCTTTAGGAGCTGAATTAGATGAGAAGGCCAACATGCATAATATACTCTTCAAGGGGACTACATAGACAAGACTAACAGATCTTATTCGCAACTAGGAGAGGTTGTGCCCTGGGATAATTTCATTGAGTTCAGCAGAGTTATTCTTGATGTGTGCTGGCTTCAGTGGCTGTATGTTGGAGGACGATTTACATAACATTACCAATAAATTAATCCATTAAGATAGTTTCATAATCTTTGTAGAAATCGCTTGGGTTCTAACCATTTTGAACCCCAAGAAAATACCACTGCTCTCTTATCATTCTCGACTAAGAAATTTCCTTGTCAAAGTATGCAAGAGAAACTAAAAGCCAGCTGTGTATGGGCTGTAGTTGCAGAAAACGATAAAGGGATCTGGCTGATCTCTCAGGATCATAAGTAGTACATGTTGAAACGAGTAATCTGCCTATACCTTCCATCCAGTATTGTAGGGAATTTACACGAGCTCTTTCTGTATGTGCAAAAGCAAGAAGCAGTGTATCATTTATGAAGTTTAGTTACTTAGCAGCAGGAGCACTTACTCTGGCATCTTGATCAATAAGTTCATAATCAACCACCGAACCGTCCTCACTTCTTCTACCCTTCAAACAAGAATAAAACATTTTAGTAGAGGTTCAATAGTGATGAGCTGATTTGAAACATGCAAGTCTTTTTCCCCACAATTCAAGTTAGTCAGCGTTAAGTGACCAGTTATTATAGTATGTCTCATCTCCATTACACAACTCTGTAACAGACAATACTGCCTTATCAAATTACTTTCATACAGTATCCAAACCATGTTATTTCAAGTTGCTGGTTATGCAGTGGTACTGAAAGTGAATCAAAACTTGTCATCAGCAGGCAATGGACTTCTGATATGGCTAGTAAGTAGCCAACAGGCGAGTAGACTGAGAAACCTGGCAAAATAAGGAAAAGCACAGCTAAAATTGCACTTGCTCAGAATATCTTACCTTTGCTAGGGCAACCATCAGTTTGCGGAAGTCTCCTGATGTGTCTGACACAATGTCCTTTTCCAGTTCTGTCTTGTACACTGGAAAACAACAAATACTTTTCTATTTATTGAGGATTTACAGTTGTTATTTATTCCATTCTTTGTCACCACAGGGGCCTCAATCTGCCCTCCCCATGTCCCTTTCCTTCCCCCACAACAGACTTACCAGCCGGACACTGCTCTTCAAGCTGCTGAGCTGCATATCGGAAATTGGACCAGTATCGGGCGATACGCCTCCTTAAAAATTGGCTATCGGTATTGGCCCCAAAAATCTCTATCAGTACACCCTTGCTCTGTATTGCTTAAAATGCAGTTTCCTCTCAAGTTCTTCAGGAATCTATCCTAAGACCCTTCAATCTCATATATAACTATCCAGTTCATCATTTTAGTATTGCTTTATATCTTATGCCACGTAGCGCTTTATTGATTCAGCCATTGTTACCCTCACAGAATCATTTGACAGCTATCAAAGCAAGTATGGGAGCACAATTTTCTCCAAGTATAGCTAAGTGTGACAGTTGCTGCTTTACCATGACTTTAAGCACTGAAATTTAAAAACAAACTCAAATAGTAACCACCAAGAACAAGGCCAATGGTCAAAAGTTTTTCCTCCCACTTCCAAAGAAGTATGGAAAAGGCCTAAATTCACCATGTTGAGAACACTAACACCAACTCACTTTCCCTGTAGACTCTGTTAATTTCAGCAAGCTCCTGATTTGTCCGCGAGCAGATGATCTCTATGAGAGTGTCTTCATCAGTTCCCAGACCCTGAAACAAAAGTTTTAGATAATTAGTTAAAATTATCAGATTTCTTGAAAGTTCCAAAATATTTTGAAGAAATTTCTTTAATATTCCCTTCTCCTACTTGGAAGTTAGAGATATTAACATCTTTACAGCTGTTTTAGAAAGGGAATTATGTGGCATCAGAATTTTTTATCAATGTAATTGATAGCTCATGTTATTTATTCTTATGGACCAGTTGCAAGTAGATTAGAGGCACAAAACTGGCACCAAAGCATCTCAATATTATGGCAGAGACAAGTCAGTATTTTCCTATACAATCTTCAGTTGGCAAGGGCAAGTAAACACTAGTACTAATTTGTGGGAGAGTAGCCACTTATCTGGTAACAAAATCTCACTTTAAAACAAATGAAATCGCTTAAGTCAGAAATGGGAGGAGTTTAGCACAATGCTTGAAAAGCTGGAACCATATTAATTCTATTTTACGTATGATAATATACTGGCAGGGTAATGTCTAAGGGGGTGCAGTGGTGCAATCATGCCCCAGGTTGATTTCTAGTCCACCCAAAGTTTCAAACCAACTTCCTGACAGTGACAGTAGCATTTCTATTCAGGCAACAGTGACGAAGTTACTTGACTTCCTGGCTCATTATAATCTATCAACCTGATTCCTTCTAAAATCTTCATTCAGAGTGTTAATGACCCTCTCTCCTTTTTAATGGTCTTGATGACGCATTAATCAAGATAAACTTTCTTCTATGTAATTCTGTTGTCTGTTAACCACTTCTCTTAATATAGCTCCTATTTCACAGCCCTGCAGACTGTTTTTAAATCTAGCTAAAAACATTAATTTAGGCGTGAAAAAATTAACTCATGTAAACATCAACTCAGGTGTGGAAATAACTCAGTGAAGCATTGATACACTGTCAAAATACTGAAGACTAGATTTTTTTATGATTCTGAAAGAAACGTACGTTTAATTCTAATAAAAACAGAACTAAAGCTTTTAATTATTTTGGCTGGTTTGTTGTGTTTTTATACAAAATATATAATATGATATAGCAAATTATTGCACATTCCAATAAAATTGTATTTGTTTTTGCTTTGATCTTAAACTGAAAAATGCAGCCCTAGGTCCCTACCATATGAATAAAGCTTCTAGTTTATTTTTACCTGGAGAAAAACACATGTTGTGTTATGTGTGATGCTGCACAATGCCATCTGCACTCCCATGTTCAAAACTCTAGATCTACCTATACATGCTGGTATTTACAGTCTTTTTCTATATGCAGTCCAATCACTTGTATCCAGTACGTAAAACACAGAACAAGTTCTTAGTATTCTGGGACTCTAGTCTGCACAGCTTGGCATACTCTCTGACGTGTGGATTAGTCGCTCAGGGTGCCTATACACATGCTTGCTCATGTTCAAATTTGAACAGGTTGGAGCAGACTCAATCAAGTCTGCTCTGCATTCAAATTAGAACACTCTGGCGTTGCCTCACTGTTGTACATTTTACGCTCCCACACGCTTCAAAATGGCTGCAGGAGTGCTTTATATCTAGACCACGTCCAAGCTTTACATAAAGTGTCCCATGGCCATTTTGAAATTTGCAGGGACTTAATATGTGTGACACTGAGCCATTTTAATTAGAATGGCTGTCCAGTAGTTGCTCTAATTAAAATGGCTCTTCCCATCCCTGAGCATGCGTGAAGGCAGTCTTAACTTCTTTGTCCCTCAGTCTACCTCATTTGTAAAAACAAAAAAAAAACAAAAAAACCCCCAAGGCTGAATACTACTACCTTCCATGGCTACTGTGAGGCTAATTCAGATATTTTTATAATGTGTTTCAAAAGCCAAAAGATGGAATGTGTTTAAGTGCCAAATATTATTGTAATAACCGTGGGATATATTTGGTTTTAGCCAGGAGCTTTTTAACATGTATTCAATATCTATCAGTGCTTCTACATTAAGTTTAGATGTCACTGGCACTAAGCATTTATTTTTGACCTCTCAGCTTAGAGCACTGTATCAAAACCTGACTCCAGTATGTGCACATATAAAGCTGAATTGACCTTCATCATGCATATACATGAAGTCCCGTCACCGTCCTTAAAAAATATACTATAAATGGAAGATTTTGGTGATATGGATGGAATGGTTTTCCTTGTCCCTGACCCAGCAAAGACTGAAGCATGTTCTTAAACTAAATATTCCTGCACTGAATTTTCCATTTAAAATTAGGTAAATAAAGGTGAAAGTACTTTTATTTTCCTTACTCCTTCATGGTTGAGGGTGTTTGTTTTAGCAACCAACACTTCCAACTGAAAATAGTAGTCCCTTATTTTGGGTCCCTGATCTAGCAGCTAAACATGTGCTCCCAGAA